AAGTTTCATTGAATCCAATGAGTGGTTCTTCAAAAATCAGTGAAACAGTCATAGAACAGCTTAAAATCAGTTAATTATCATGCACATTAGGTAATTAATATTAATAGATTTTTACCCAAAACTAATCAAATCTGTGTATTAGTTCAGAGCATCCATGTGCCAAGTTTCATCAAAATCCAATGAGTGGTTCTTCAAATATCAGTGGAACAGTCATGGAACAGCTTGAAATCAGTTAATTATCATTCAAATTAGGTAATTAATATTCATAGATTTTTACCCAAAACTAATCACATCTGCGCACTAGTTCAGAGCATCCATGTGCCAAGTTTCATCAAAATCCAATGAGTGGTTCTTCAGATATCAGTGGAACAGTCTTGGAACAGCTAAAAATCAGCTAATTATCATGCAAATTAGATAATTAATATTCATAGATTTTTACCAAAACCTAATCAACTCTGCGCATCATCCCAGAGCATCTATGTACCAAGTTTCACGAAAATTTGATTAGTGGTTCTTGAGATAACGGTGGAACAAAAAAAGTGACATACATACATACATACATGTACATACATACATACATACATACATACAGACATACAGACAGGGTAACTGCAAAGACTCCCTTTTGTGCTTCGCACACGGGAGTCAAAAAGTAGTAAAACTATCCAATATAATGGTACACCATACACATATGGCTTTTAACTGGATGCTGTGAAAAGTGGGTCAGTATAAAAGAATTCATGTTTTTTAACTTCATTGACGAAAATACAATGTTATAAAATCTATTTGGTACTTAGCATAACTATGATAAATTACTTAGAATTACAATTATACATATTAGTGAGGTCAAATGCCTCCTCTGATGACATTATAATATTCATCATAATTGACTAAATTGGTAAAAAAAATAAAAATCAAATAGTATAATATTATGTTGTTTCTTACCTCCAGGGTCATTTGTTCCTAATGTCATCTGAACTTCTAGATCTGTTGAAGATAACGACTTAGGTTCACTTTGTTTTGGCATCTCAATGTAGGTTTCTGGGAAATATCCAATCTCGCCATTTTGATTACGACCCTGTCAGATCGATTAAATAAACAGTTTAAATAGTTTAGATTAAATTAAATAGGTCCTCTGTGAAACAGAAGAATATGATCAGTCCCTTTGGTGTTTGATTTACATAGGTTTCATTGTAAGACTTCTATAGACTGAACATGTAAATATAAACTTAACAATATCCTCACTCCCTTTGATTTAGATAGGTTTTACTGTTACTGTCTATATTAAAGGGAACTGATCATTACCACCAAGCTGGTTTCCTGTGAGTCTCCTGCGGCATGCGTTTCTTTACCGTCCCGGCCGCTGCTTTACCGTACCGGCCGGTTCTTCATCTTTCAGGCCGGTTCTTTACCGTACCTGAAGTTCATTAGCCGTACCGGCAAGGTCGTTACCGTACTGGCAGGAGGCAATTCACACTTCTGACAAGTTAATTTATGCATTGATTTTCCGGTATACCGGTAAAATGCCGACCTGTTTAAATTTCAGTTTTATGCACAGGATCGCCAGAGAAAGCAAAACTGTAGAATTAATTTGAGTAGAATTTGTTTAGTTTGTAGTTATAGTCTGTTTATAAATCATTTTGTTCATGTTTGCTATGCGGTAGCTTTCGAGGTCAAATACACCACCAGGGCAATTTGTTGCGTCTTTTTATTTGTCAGAGATTAAACTTTACCATTATTATTGCATAATATTTACATTCAAGTTGCGCGTGATAATGCTACACATGATTTTTGTGAGACCATGGAGCTCCCAGTACGTCCATGTGAACTACAGACGGAACTGCATCTTTATTTTATACGATATTTTTATTTTTTTAAAATTGGGATCAGTGCTCCCAAATCAACTGAGCCGACAAAGTGGATTACAAAAATAACAGTTCCATGACAGTGGCTATATTTGTGTATGATGAATCCTGAGTCGGTAGTTTTGGCATGTAACCTAATGGTTTTGGTTATTGTTACAAATGCACAGTGCAGACGTAATTTTGTTTTCATATTTTCACTTTATCTGGCGCCAGTGCACGTGTGCTTGGATGTTTTTTTATTCAGTGATTGGGCTAAATATTTGACGACGTTGCCAACGTATTTAACATACAAAAATAGCATGTGTGTGCGTTTGCGTGAATGATAGATGCAGACGAGATTTCTCGTCGCAACGCGTTTTATTAGTTTATTTCCAACGCGAGTGGTCGGCGCCTTTGATTGCGTTTAGTTTGTTCTTTCATTCGCAAAATCTATCGCTGGCACCGTTTATTTTGTTATGTCTCACAACTGAATGTCCAAGCTGACTTTGTATTGGCTGTAATTATATTATTTTTTGTAAAACAAAAAAAAGTCC